CCACTTTTGTTGCCTTTATCTATTTGTTTACATGGTTCCTCATACAAGAATATTTTATGCGTAACTCGGTCATCAATCAACTGACTTATGAATAGTTAACAAATGGATGGATGACACTATCGCTGAGCGTAGCAAGCAAATATCAGCAACAAAGTCCTATGGCTAAGGGATCAGCGCTAGCAAACTCGGCAAGATGCGGCCTCCGGACAAAATTGCCAAAAGTGACGTGTGGGTGTTCTCTGTCTAAAAGGCTCCAAGAGGACAATCGGCGTTCAAAACGGTACTTTCTCTACGCCATACGCAAGCAATGCCGCTAAACAGGGCACATATTGGCGTCTCTGTGGTATAATGGAAAGTTCAGGGGCAGAGAAACATCGGATCCAGGCCTGAGCTTTCGCCTAGACAATGCTCCCGAAACCTTGAGATAACGTGTATCGAGTAAGAGCACTTCGCAACCTAATGTCTGCCGCGTAGTAAGGGAGGCAATAGGCACTGTATAGCATGAGGGAAGGGTAAGAAAAGCACAAAACAGCCTTGATCCTAGAGGGGCATTCTCTTGGTTGAAATTGACTTTAAGACTTGTAAACTCTTGTGAAGAAAAATCGACTTTGAGGACTTGTAAACTCTTGTTTTAAGCACAGGAAAAAGGACACAGAAAACAAAGAAAAAGCAAAAGAAAAACACAGAAAAGAGTTGCTTACAGGCCACCAGTGAAGACGCTGAAATTTGTGTCAATTTCATAAGTCTACAGGAATTAACAAATCTTATTCATAAGAGGGTCGGCCCCGAAGGTTCCTCTGTAACGCTTCACAAGCCAGGGTACTGCCACCGCTAGGGAGAAACTCTCGGAGGATACGAACCCCCCCCCGTAACTCTTATTCTTCTGGAACGAACCCCCCTTTTGTCCCCCCTTTTTTGCCTAGTCTTTTCTCAACTGACCTTCCCTTTCTCCAGCTTTTCCGGAATTTCCCGGTTTTTCCCCGAAATTCAAATTTTGCTGTCCATCGAGAGGGGGGGGTCGAGTAATATATAGCAGTGTGAGACGGGAAAACCGCGAAACTATTCAGCAAACAACACAACGAATTTATCTTGAATTTTTCTTATTTAAAGTCTAATACGGCCTCTCCCCTTATAGCGTCCGCGAAACAAGTAAAGTCAACTAGGGAAAAAATAAATCAAATACGACTCGCCCACTCACGCTGGGGTTTCCCCAACGTACTCCAGTGGTCTTCTACAAGTTTGCATTTACAGGTCCCCGCGAACTAGCAGACTGATGAGGTGTTACAATCGTATTATTCGCAATTAGGTATGCAGGAAAAAGCAGAAAATCCTGAACAAAATTTATCTTTTAGTGTGGTCCGCTCAGCCTTAATACAATTGTTCGCTCGGGAAACAAACTTTACCATAACATCTGAGAATATTTTTCCTTCTTTCCCCAAAACGTGCGTTAATTGCAGCTTTCAGTTCTTCATCGTCAGAAAGACGCTCTCCACGGTGGCCTTTTTCAGGTTGGGGAACAAGAAGTAATCACTGATCTTTTCTCACTTTTTTTCATTTTTCCCCAATTTTTTTTCAAAATCAGTAGTCGTTTTCTCAACATTGTCGGTCATGGCAGTCGCGCTGATCTCCTTTCACCAAAAATAACTATTATAGAATAGCATTGATGATGACAAAATGAAATTTTATTCTTATACCCTCAGGGAGTTAGTCACCTATTGAAATGTTTTAAATTCCTTCGTCATTGCTACATACGAATAGACTTTGAATGGCCCTTCGCATGCCTGGTGCGAAGAACCACCACCCCTCCTGACGCGAACAGCGCCTACACCTTTAATCAAGTAATTACCCACCGTAAGAGTTATGTTCATGTGTAAATGGAGACCATGCTTGTTGATTCCGTAAACACGATCTTCTTCCATCTCCAAATTAAGATTCGACTTCCGGTCTAAAAAGATGATCATCTATCATAACGTGACAAAAAATCAGCTAGAAGCTTCAAAAGGTAAAGCCACAGTCCAATACGAGTAGCGATGGCCTACGTACTTCCTGATCTAAGACGGTAAATAAGTAGGGTGCACAAGTGAGAAATGCCCAGCGGAATGACCATGTCTCTTACGGTGGCGATGGAGGACAGGGCCAACACTGGCATTTCTCATTTTGGTGCACCCTATTCCGCTGGTCTCATAACAGGTTACTGGTAATTGGCACTTTCTCCATTGTACTTACAAAGAGTGGGCGCAGTTCGACGATGGGGTGGAGAATGGCATTTTGCAATTTCGTTGCTGCGCCAGTTCCGGTGGCACTTGGGTTACTGTCACTAGTGCCAGAATGTCTGCGGCGTTACCTCCTATGGCGCCGAGACACAGAGGATGTGAAATTCGTGTTTAGAGAGTCAAGCTACCTGCGAAAAGCCACTTTCGGGTAAGCCTGATTAAGAAGAAAAATATCTATCGAAATTGATTCCAAATTTCGAAAGAGTTGATGCGGCATAGGTTCCCATCGGATGACGGGGGGGGGAAGAGGGGGGGCGCGGTTCGCACTTTATGCTTCTAGTTCGGTTTACAAGTCTCACTCTGGTGAAACCTGTGAACTCTTGTGAAGCTGGAGCAAGCTCGTCAAGCCATCATGGTAAAACTTGTCAACTCGAGAAGAGGCTGTCTAGATGGGTCACCAAACTGCTCCCAAAGAGTGCCATTCGAAAAAATCGTGCACGGTGAGAGAAATGCAGCGCGTAAATGGCCTGAATTGCTCATGCATAGCCTATACAGCATTCTTTAGATTAGACTGCACCCTTTTCAAATGCAGTCACCATTTGGATGGGAAGTAGAACGGCATCTCGAAAGGGCTGCGATCGACGCCCGTCTAATTTACTAGTTCTGCATCTATTTGACTAGATTCAATCTAAAAAAAGAATTCCACGTACCTGCTCTGCAATGTCCTCTCAGGAATATTTCACCCTCGGAGCACTTGCACATGCTAGAAAATGCGTCAATCGGCTCACAAACAGCGCCTATCTGGAAATGAACTTTCTGAGTTGTAAGTCCTATTATTCCTCATTGATGAGAAGAGGAAAAAGAAAAAGAGAAAAGGAAAACTCACTGCTTCGCAGTCGCTGTTAGAAGTGCACGGTGGAAGATGCTTCAGGGAAGGGGTGTCTTTCTCACGATTATTTCTCTCACGAGGCTCTGACGAATCTAAAACGATTACGTGAAGCTCATTCCTGTGGTATTGCTGGACCTCCTGAGGTTTCAAAGTGGAACAAACTATTCAGCCTTCTATTTAATTAAACTGAAAATTAGTATTCTAAATATATTGGCACACGTCGGCAAGGGGGGAAGGGGGCATTTTGCACTTTTGCTGCTTTCCATTATCGTGTCAAGCCAGCGAGTAGAGATTTGTTAAATTTGGTGATGTCACTGGAAGTTTCAGAAACAGCTCACCACCTCTTTTAAAGAATATCTATATACTCTTGCAAGGCAATGAGCACGACAAAAGGAACATGCGAAACTGCAAAATGCCCCCCCCCCATCTTCCGTCGCCGGACTGCGCTGGTATATTCAATTCTGGATTTCGGATACAGGTTGGGCCACCAAACACCTAAAAGTTTCTATGCCCTGTAGGAGTGCAAAATGGGTGCTAACTCACTCCGTACTATTAAAGGCGGAATCCACGCTAGTTGTATAAGCGGGTCTGGCTCTACAACGCTGCCTCCCTAGTGTTTCGCCTCTCTGTCTCCAAGACGCCACGAAAATGGAGAAGAACCAGTGGTTAGGTGGCTTCGTGGTTTCGCCCCACGCACCAGCCGTAGAATAGTTGCCTATTTAACGCCTTAGACATTGCCGTGCACGCCACTCTATACAGGTTAATGCTCCATAAAACTTACCGATCCGAGCAAATTCCAAGCGAGACCGCCACTAAATCGAGTTGGTGTTTACAGGCGAACTGAATAAGTTGACACATGCTGTCGTATGTTGTACCGTCCGATCCACAAACGCTCATATTGGCAACTGAAAAGCTCAAAAAGCATGGGCGCTATAAAAACACACAATGTGGCTTAGTTCGTTCGGTTGTCGACTATTTCAAAGGCAACTGGCACGATAAATTTTTGAGACAAAAACGCTAATACGCTTGGCAGGAATGAATTCGGCGCCCCTGAGTAGGGCGCTGCGTGCCGCCTTCTCCAAGAAAAGAACCCTTATAGCGCCCTGCCAAAACCTGCAACAATACCGACCGACGGCCCATCCGCCTGCCGCCACAATTGTTCTCCAACCGATTGCTGTAGGCTCCTGTCGCGCTCCTTCATTAGTGAAGGTAAAAATGGAGGGAGAAGGGATTGATATGCAGCGGCCGCGGGCTGCATGGATGTGTAAGCACATTCATGCACTAGAATCTACAGTAGCGATTATTGGTAATGGGTCAGCGGGGAAATCGTCCGAAATTGCTTTCTGAGTCGAACAAAGGCTTTTTGCAACATTCGCCGTTTCACTTCGTCTTTTCGCTATTTCTGACTGTTTAGCACCCCTGCTTCCATTCTAGACAGAGTACCAAATTATCGCGCCAATTGCCTTCAACTGGGTGATTAGTAATCTGCTTACCATAGTTGCGAAAAAGTTACGGTTTCAGAAGTATTATATAAAGCCTAAGCGCCACACTTCTGCAGTGCAACGACGTTGTGTCGTCAGTGATCTTTCAAGTTGATAGCCTTGCGCGGTATCTGTCGGAAGCAGGGCACAGCATTGGTTGGGGATTCCCTATGGGGGGGGTCGTATTTGGCCGCCAAAAGGGGGGGGGTCGTATTTGGGCTGGGAAAAATTTATTTTTATAGTTGATTTTTCTCCTTGCACGTTTCGGAGGGGGGGGGTCGTAATTTGGTCCTTGTGGGGAGGGGGGGTCGTATTTCTGGCTAGGAATTATGTGGTTCACTTGGTGGATTTTTATGAATTTACTGTGTTATAGCTAGTATGTACGCCCGTACCATGTACGTCGCACTGCTTACTACATACCCCCGCTCGACAACTTTTTCGCCGAGTATAAACCACAACCACAGTCAGCCATGTCAGCCATCGTACGAGCATGGGGGGGGTCGTACCAGCCCCTGAAAAAAAGGGGGGGGGGTCGTAAAAGCTCGACCAAAATCCCCATCGAATGCTGTGCCCTTGCTTCGGAAGCAGTGCGTACCGGTCCCAACGCCCCGAGGGGTCGGCTATAAACGCATCTCTCGCGCTCATCCGAAGGAGTTGAAGGAATGTGTTCCTTCTTGGAAATCCGCATCATTCCAATAATGTTGGCGTTTCTTCACAATTCCTTTTGAAAGCAGCGCTCGCGCTCAGTTTGATGAGCTATGGGGCTGACACAGTGACAACAAGGTAGCAAGTAGTTCATTACACAAGAAAAATGCAACATACCCGTAGGCTATGTCCTATATAGGACCCTACGTCGAGCTAAGGTAAGGTTGCACGCGTGCTCAAGGCGAAGCAGAAGGCCAGTTCCTGTTGGCATTAAGCTGATTTTCCCTTATAGCCTCACTCTCACCATTCGAGGTGGTGAGAGTCACTGGCGGAACAACCGCACCCATCATGCAACCATTCGAAATGAAGATGGCCGTTGTGGTCGCCATGTGAGCGGGGCGGCAGACACTTCACGCGCAGGGGCCGCTAATTCCCTCGCCTTTTTGAGTTGCGAAACCAGTACATCTCCATCCTTGTAGGGTGAGCTACTATATCCTACGAGGGCGGGGAACCATCAAATGAACGCGGGCGCTGCCTTCAAGCTTTCCACCTCCACAATGTACCCAAAAGCGCTGATTGCTCCGCTGAATCAGAATCCATACGGAATCTCTCAAAATAGTCTCATGACCAACAAAATTCCAAAGGGTCGGAAAAAGTGAAATTTTTACCCTGCGACCAGGGTGGGACTCGTGGCACAATATAGTAGTGTAGCTTGTTTCCTGTATATCGTAATGCCGTCTGGTGTAAAATCAAATGCGTCGGTTCGGTGCCGCACATAACACCATAGCGTCCATCCACAGTCTGAGTGTAGAATGGAATCGCCTCGCCATGCACCCCATCTTCAGATTGGTGGGGGGGGGGGGGGGGAGAGCTATCATTATAGAGAAGATTCTTACAGAGTATGATACCCCTTATACTGGTGATGAAGTCTGCTCCTCCACGCGGTGCCACTGGGAGCTCGTCTCTGCGAGCTGCAAAACGCAGACATCCGAATGCAGGTGACAGGCCTTCGTGACGGGCCGGCCGTCAAGTCCACCCAAGTCACATCCCAATGTTCAATGACACCCCCTATACTGCTCTTCTGGTACGACCTTCAGATACTACCTACGATGTTGCCACGATGCTACCGGTGCTCTGGCGTGTAGGTGAAGTCGACATCCCAACATCCTTCACTTATAATTTTCCTTAATTTTGTTTCCTACGAACACCCAAGTCACATACTACTTATAAGCACATAACTAGCCGGCCCAGTACTGCTTCTATATATAACCTATATAAACCATAATTTTCGGAATTATGAAAGAATTTTTGCAACAAAGGCAATGTTTCGTTTTTCTCAACAAAGTAGAGGGGCTGAGGCTAATGGCCTAAGGCTGATGGATCTGCGTGTGTAAAAATTGTAAAAAATTACCTATACCAAGATGCCCGGCATCACAGTGGGTTGGACATACACAATTCGGGAGGTTCTTTCGAGCTTCCACACATTTTGCTCCATGATGGCACTCCAGTGTGGCACAACTTCTGAAAACGTTGACAAATTTGAGCAAGTTACTTTGGAATCCTAGCGTGCAGAAGTTCGCAGGCGATTCTGTGATCGTCATTTTTATTTCGAATTTCCGACTGGAGGCCGCTCCATACTTCACGATTTCAGCGGTTCAGTCGCGCGAAGAGGGAACCAGACGATGTGAGTGACCGTGTCTCACCCCTGATCGTTGGACCATTGGTCGGAAACAGTTCTGTAATGATTGCGATTGGATCAGCAGCTGCATTGGTTCAATGACTAGCAGTGGAGCACGGTCGATCATAGTCGCGAGAGTGAATCACTGTACTCGCGAAGTATGAATGCGGTCCCATCAGGTCCTGTCAGCAGCTCAGTACAGCAAGCGAAGGCGCTGTCCGGTTTGGAGGGGGTCATGCTTTACAGGTGACCTGTACAGGCTTAGCTGAATGCGATTTGTGCTACCACCAAGCCGAAGTGCGCCGACTGAATAATAGTATTTGTAGGCAGACCAACTACAGTTCCTTATACCAAACTTTTGGTATAAAAAACTACAAAAAAGACAAATTCGCGGCTCCTATTCACAAGACAGTTCTTAATGAGCCTGGCGCTATGTATGCCGGGAGGGGTCAATCTAGAGCGAGTCTCAGTGCCAATCGTAGAGCGATCTCAGCCACGCCACGCTTCAATGCGTACAGCGGACGGTTGACGGGAACAAGGGCAGTCGCATGATTGTGCCAATATTCTGAGGCTAACATTGCGGGCCAGTCAACAACAGTACAAAATCTGTTCCAATGCGAGCTGAGACGAGCAAACATGTGTACCACAGCCTCGCTCTCCCCAAAGCACCGACAGCCGTCATGCCTTATCAACTTCTATCAAAACTCGAAAACAGGGACGACACTCGACATGGCGTGCGGGCGAGAATTCGGTAGTAGATATTCATTATTATAGTCTTTCGACTGGCGCCTTAGTGTGATTCCACATGTAGGAAGGTTACAATTGACCACAATGGTCTAGGCCTGCTATCGCCCGCCCATCCAGCTATCGCGGAATAAACCAAGAAAGGCATTCAAATATGTATTTGGTCAACACAATGACTCTTGAAACGCCGACAATTTTTATTTCAGTGTTTTCCTCCTCTTGAGTCATACGGCCTTTAACAAAATGGGCTTAGGATGCTGGGAAGCTTAGCTGGTCTTGACGCAACCTAATCAGCATGATACAACTTTCGCAAGAACACTTCCCTAGCTTGAGAGCAGTAAGATTGGCAAATTGCTTCATTATAATCCGGCGTGGAGCGGGACTCGATTCACGGCAAATTTATGCCGCGAAAAATCAACCAATTATACTGTCGATTAGTCCAGAAATGACCTAGGCATAATGACAAGAGCTCGTCAAGAGTGCAGCAGTCAAATGCATAAAATTCATATCTAAAATCATCCGGTTCTGCGCTCCACTCCCAGGTAAGTCTTTGTTGACTGCCAAGCTTGTTCAAAGTTCCGCTCCCTAAACCTATCAAAGTAAATGCAAGACTCGATGTGTTATATTAGTCTAGGGAAGAAATAAGCGGGTGTTCATTCAGCGAAATACACGAAACACATTATGTCTCGTTATTGTGCAGCAGGGCACGTCTTGTCGCTAAGGAGAATTCTCGGAAAATACGACCACCCCAATCCCCTTCTTTGATACGACCCCCTCCCCATGCTATCTACTACTTTTCTAGTTTTCTTGATTTTTCTCTACCGTGAGTTTCCCAAGCTTCCCTTATATTTTTCAGCTTTCCCCCATCGCCCCAAAATTTTCCGGTCGAGAGGGGGGATTGCGTTCGTTCGAGGTGAAATTGCGAGCGCCACAAAAAAACTATGTGAAAAATCATGTTCGCAGTCCACGGGAGGGCAGAAGGCCGAACGTGGCAGCGATCCATGAAACCAATCCTCACCTGCGCGCCTTCACTTTAACAGGAACAGAAAGGGAAACGCGCTGTCTTTTTTGGAGGGCCATGCACACCAAGCATGTTCGCTGTCCCCCAAAAGACTTGAAAACTTCTCATTTTGCTACTATTGTACAAAAAGAGGAGGCGACTAAGAAGCAATGAGGGGGACCGGTTGGGAGATCCACGACTGAAAGCTACATAAAGGATAAAAAAGGATAAAGTCTTCGCCGTTGATCAATCCCTTTGTGGGATGCGGCACGCATTCTACTTCCATTCAGAATCGTAGTGGCTTATTGAATGCGATGTGGCCTATACAATGACTTGCGGTGGCCAGCCGATGTACAAGTCAGTGTTTTATCCTCCCAGACGAATCTGGTACCAATTTACCGTCCCCGGAGGGTAGAAGGCTTGGTTGGCCTGGGCGGGAGTCGACCCGGGATTTGAACCCGGCGCCGCGCGAGGTAAGCGCGCCACTTGTCACTACACCACCTCCGCGCCGAAAGCTACATATCGTTGAAAAACTTGCAAGCCCTTCAAACGTTACCAAATCTTTAGCATCGAGACGGAACTCAAACCAAACCTCGGTGCACGGAACTCCTCCTTCTCTACGCATCCAGAAGCAGTCATCACGTAATCGTCCACACATCGGTCACATCTCTTCCCAAGAGCACCTCGAGAACACTCACATCTTCCAGTGGATTGCTCACAGTCAGGGCGAGAAGAACCGAAAGCCGAACAGCCGCATGCTGAAACCACGAACTATTGAGGAATGCAATGAATTGCATTATTTTATGCGAGATGAAGAATAGCAGCATCGGTAGAATCCCGCTGCGGCTCATGTCAGGCTTCACTGGGGTCAAATCTAACCCAAGAAACATATTTATACCGCGAGGGACTTTCTCTCAAATACTGCACTTAGTTTGGTGTCTTTTCCGGCGTTTCTTGGTGTGCCATGCACTCCTCCTAAGGAGGCCTCGCCTCATAAAACAATTTTGTGGAATAGGTGGACTTTAAAAGAACTGAGGAGCATGGAGATCGGGTAAGGGGGGTGGAGGGGGTGCTAGGGGGAAGCATTGGGAAGTTGTACTGGCGCATTCATCCCAATACACATTTTTCCCATCGCAGTACTGTATCCTGACCGTAACGTTCTCCTTGTCAATCGAAAGCAAGGCAGGGGTGCTGTATCGACGAATGGCACAAGCCAGGTGCGACGTCCGGGGATTGAGATCCGCAGGAATAGTCCCGCCACACCCAACCTTAAGCTTTTGCTTCTCAGGTAGGACCATGAGAATGTGGCTTCTCAACATTCCTTTTGTGAGGATAAGAAAACTGGAGAGCATCTGGTGGCCCGCGAGTCATTTCATAGCCAGCACACAAGGGGATTCCACTGAGCGGGTATCGAGTGGGGTGGAGTTTGTCCCCGAAGTCTCAAAAAGAGTGAAAGGAGGCTCAGGAAGGGCTTATTGCTTGCAATCCTCCAATAAGGTGTGAATTGAGCCTTGATGCTGAACAATTGTTTTCAAGGTATGGATGGTTTAGTAGGTATATTGCGATGTTCGACCATCGCCCCCCCCACCTTTTTTTCCTTCAACCCTACCATTACCACTTATGCCGCAAGAGGCCATCAGCGCCACTTTCATAAATCATTCGTCTTAGAAAAAAGGAACAATCGAACATTCAGAAAAAAAAGGGACAACCCGAGACGTCAAAACGACGGCCTGACACATTGAGAAAAATAGGCGGAGCATGCTAACATCAGTCCTATAAACTGTCCAGCTCGCCCCCTATTCTCCTCCCGCCCCACAACCCTTCCTCGGGAATCGGATTGCATGTTTTGTTAGCAGAAAAAATGATAACTTACTCCAGTGAGATACATATGTTACGAGTACAGAAATGCAAAATAATAGCAACTCGAACTATTCTCGTTCTATAGATCTCCGCCAACTGACCAACTAGATCTGTTAGACGGACTCATACTCCTGGGTTACTCTGCTGAATGAAAGAGAAGCTCAATTGCTCCATCCCACTTGAATACTAACCACTTGGTGAGACTTCTCACCCCGTCACACACATGAAATTGAACGCAGTCTGGTCGGAGGAATAAAACTACTGAGTAAATATCAGATAACTGGCTCCTAAAGGGCACTGCTTCAGAGTCATACAATTTGCAGGCTTTTTCTATTCTACAATGAAATCGGATCCTCACACCTGCCAACTGAACTTATATATTTATTCTTCAAGTGTTGAACTGACTAAAATACGAATAGGCAGTAAAAGAGTGAGACCTAGATTTACTTGATGGTACTGTTCAGTTTTTGAATAAATTTAATATCTAGCGAAACCTACGTTTGCATGACTGTGCACCGGCTGCGATAAGGTGCAGACCCCAGAAACCAGGGAGGCAGTGATCGCATTTGGATCCACCAACACCAGCGCGACATCTGAATATGTAATCTCCTGACATAAAATTGAATTTTGAAGGAATACATTTGAATTAGTAAGCTTTCTGAATATAAATGGTTGGAAAGCGTTCGCCCTCCATCACTCACTCGCACAAAATTACCCGGTATACGATAAAAGAAGACAGCAAGCGTCTAAGAGCGAGTTAGAAGATCTTAGTTGTGGAGACTCGCAGAAACCAAAGTGATGCAGCTCGAGCGAGAGCGTGCTCTACATAGTTCATCGTAAAGGGCATTCTCCACTGGGTACAGCATTGTTGGGAGACCCCCATCGTGGATCGCAGTTCTTGGTTGGATAAGAGGGGTCGCATTTGTTAGTGAGGTCGCACTTGGCATAGTTGGTTTGTATTAGGTCATTCTGCCCATCCCAATGCTCTACCCCGGTTCTCTAGCTAGTTCACTCACGTGGGCTAAGTCTTGATGAATGCTAGGACTTCACATCGCAACGGAAAACCTATGACTGCGCAGGTCGGTGGGGACCCCTCTGATACGTTCTCCATCCTCTGCATTGCCTCAGTCCTTTGAAGACACACACCGCGACTGTGATTCTACGGCTTTGAAATAAAATATGAGTTCGGACACTGATTAAGTTATAAAAGTGGCCACGAAGGTGTAGGCTTCCGCTCAAACGGTGGCCACGAAAAAAGAGAAAATTGCGACTTCTCAACCTTTCTGACCTCAAAATAGGCACAACCGTTTAAAAGAAAACAAACATGGGAACGACGATTTTCCCTTTGAGCTCAATACACAATTATGAAACCCTTATAAAATCATTTTTCGAAAAATCAGCTGTTTGAGGTTTTTTTTCCATCTAAATTTTATCAGAAGGCGATTTCCGCAAGACCTGAAAGACAGTAGTATCAATGAACCGTCCAAACGATCCCTGAATGAAGTCCCAGATTAATTCTGTATGATCGCGACGTATCTGCGCCCTTCAAATGGATCGGCATCTAAGGAACGTACCTTCGCAATCGCAGAACTCCGGCGCTCGTGAGTCGCTCATATTTCGAGAAGCCAGGGGGAAGCGGGAAACCTCAGGATTGCGGCGACGCGAAATGCCTTTATAAATGTTGGTCTCCTAGTCAACTGGTGTATACGGAAATCGTGTCTTCAAATGTGCCACTCGCCGTGTTACAGTTCCTTCCGCAGTCTATGTGTGCTTCTCATGCCACGTGCTCCTTTGCGGCGCCGAAAAAATGCAAAGCGTAAGTCATTCAAAGACTCACCTGCAGTTGCCATCCTTATCGCAATGCGGCCCCAATGAGCCAAGACTGTGGCAGTGACAGCCGTCTGAAATAAAGTAGATCAGTGGAAGGATGTTTATCACGTGTCAACATCATTTCGTTTCTTTTGAAAAGTAAAACAGTTCCGGCAGAGCGTCAAATTGGAAATACTATTCAAAATACCAAGGGAGCGCGATTTCAGTACTCCCATTGTAGCAGCCTGACTTATCTCTTTGAGAGAGGACTACGTCAATGGTTGTCCTAGTCAAGAGTTGAGGGCATCGACTACTAGTACACCAAAACTCAACAAGATTTCCTGATGAAACTTCGCCCATTAGATGCCTTTCATTAAAAAAATATACATCTTGTCGGAGCTCGCGCGCACTAAAAAAAAAAAAAAAGGGAAAATATTAAAAAAAAAAAAAAAAAAAAAAAAAAAAAAAAAAAAAAAAAAAAAAAAAAAAAAAAAAAAAAAAAAAAAAAAAAAAAAAAAAAAAAAAAAAAAAAAAAAAAAAAAAAAAAAAAAAAAAAAAAAAAAAAAAAAAAAAAAAAAAAAAAAAAAAAAAAAACATTGGCGAAACTAGCGCCAGTTCCCGCTAATTCCGAGCGTTTCTTCCACCAAAACTCGATGAATTTTGCATGCTGATTTACTCGGCACCCGGCGGTGTCCATCCGAATAAGACATCCCTTTCTAGCCCTGTCCCCGTCTGGGCGCCATTAGGCGACCAATTTGCAACATCTTTCCATCAACATTGATGGAAACATTAATAACTAGGGTAGTTTGGATGCCCTATCACGAATAGCAACCATTTTGTTGGCACACCAGCTTCATCTAGTCCCTCCTCTGGGGCTGAGCCTGTGAGAAAGAGTGGCTTCCTTTGAGCCAGGCTCGGCCTCAACAGAGTGCAGATGAACGTGATGCCCTATTGGCGCCAGCGCCGTGACGCGGGCGCCAACAATTTCTGGCCGAACGGATGTGATATTCGTGTTCAGGAGGTCAACTATCCCTGGGGACAGTTTTCAGCGGATTTGGTGATCTAGGGTATTTTGGAGCCGGTGTCTGACATGGGTGCCGAAAACCTTCGGGTCAAGCGGATGTGATGTTCGTAAAACCAAACTTTCAGCTAAATCTGTCCCCTCAGAAAAAAAAAGTCAAAATCCCACTTGTTTTCGGAAGATTGGGGTTGTAGTTGTAAAAAAATAGGGCCGAACTGTGGTAGAGAGCACTACTGCTGACAAAGGATTTGCAAGAAAATCAAGAAGGCGATAAAAGTTGAAGAGGGCATACCTCCAGTAGCTGCCATGGCTGAATGGCAATGGGTGAGTGGCATTACTGGGATTGGAGACCCTCGCTGGCAGGCTGCCAATTGTCGATGACAATCGGACGCATATAAGATTCCGTCTTCTCCGCAGACACGAGCAGAGGTTGGTGGTGATGACGGGCATTGATAGGAGCACACACATTTCCCACCACGACATTCTTCTCCAAATCCGCATTCAACGTTAATGCACGCATCTAAAGTAAGGAATTCAAATCAACAGAAATATCGCGAAAAGGACTGTAGGAATGCTTCAGGACACCAGACAGTTGAAGAAACCCTTCCAGCAGGAGGCTAGGCTAGACCGCGCACACTCTCAGTCCGTCTGCGCCCTCTCAACGAAATAGTGTTCGCTTGGTATCGCCGAAGCTAGTGGGGCAAACTAGGAAATAAACGTGAATGGTTCAATTTTGTACTCTCTCAGTTGTCCATCCCGCTTGCATTTTAACATTTGAATTAGTTCGAACAAAACATCCAAAACTGAGTGCTTTTTCACATAAGTGCCTTATGTAGCCCATAACCCAGATAAACTTCATCATGGTAGCGTGACGAAAAACGTGACCGAAAGTAAAATAAGTGCAAATAAATGGCAGCAATAGGAGCAGGGTAAAAAATCTCACCGCATTTTCCCTCGAAGGCGACTACTATAAATTTCATTTGCTGGCAGGCGCTCTTCCTCAGGTGGCACTCTGAAGAATAAGTGACTCCATCCGTGCCACAGACCGGTGTTGAGCGAGTCTGAAAACAGAACGAGAGGTAAAAGCAACAACTTCGTTTTCACTGCGAGTGCCGGGCCTCCTCAAGGAGCTATAGTTGGCGCGGCGCCAGTGTTCTCCGCCATTTGGTTTTCCACCGATTGCTGCTGCTTGCTCATTACACCAACTGGCGGAGTACGAGTTGCCGCCGTGAAGCCCACTGACACACCACAGCACCCACAGCCAACAATACTGTAGGTGAGATTACAGCGGAAATCCGCGTTGAACAAATGGGCGGAGATTCACAATCACTGTGCCTGCCTCATTGAAGCGCTTCCTTTTTATCTTAAAAAGGGCGGCTCTTCAACAAGAGAGGCGCAATGATTATGAGCTTCTAACATGAGATAACGGTAAAATCTGCATTCACTGTGAGGAAAGAAAAGGTCCGGAAAGAAAGAAGAAGAGGTTCGGAAAACTCACAGATGATGCGTTTTTGTTGCATTCGGTAGGACAGCGACATTCAGCTTTACCATTCTCCACGATGCAAGTTGAGTAATACTGGCAGTTCTTCTTAGCGCATCCCTCTGTAACTCCAGAAATGGGTCACGAAAAAAGGTAAGGGTGCTATGTGCCTCGGAAAAAACAGTCTGCGGTTTTGAGTTAGCGCTATAGTAGCAATTTTCAGACGCAGTGGGCACGATCGCTGGAGGCAGTTGTAGCGTCATTGTGGAATGCTTTGCTGGCCGACAACCACAAACTATGTTAGGGGCAGTTAGGCCGACATCGCCCTCCATCAGCTCTCATTCACCAATGTTCCCAGGAACAAGCAACTCGCCTCCAGCAAAAACGCAGGTACTATCCGAAATCAGTTCACGCACGGCTGCCGAACAGAAAGTGTAAACTTGCCCTCTCAGCTGATGCTTCGGAGGCGCATAAAGAATCGTACGGTTTAAGGAATGTTGACTCTTGACATTACGCAAATCCGCATTTGTACTCTGTACGAACAGCGTCTCGCACAATACGCAAGGCTTGCGCATTTACACTCGTCGGGGTACGTTACGGCCACGCTAGCAGACAAACCATTAAGTAGACATTATATCTCATAGATGCGTAATATAGCATTTTTCAAGTAATTAGCTCTTCAAACGCAGTATTTAAAAAAGCAAGGAGAATACGCAGGTGAGGAGGCGCAATGTAGGCCTGGCCCGCTCTTTCCATCAGCATCGGATATGCCCTGCTGAGTACCATATTACGGCAAACTCGATTCAGCACTGTGCCCTCTTCAAGGCTGAGTGCCTTCTTTAATGGGCGGTAGTACGACCTCGAGCACCATGCTACAGTGGTGAAGTATGTGCTGATGTTACTTTCAGTACGGCAGGAAATTCTTATAACCTCATAACACTGAATGTATTGTTTTCATGACCGAGCATGATTGGCCAACCTCTCTGAGTTCATCCGTACACTGCGGGCAGACACAGGAAGGCTTTTCGTTGACAACTACACACGTCAGCGGATGCTTACAAGTAAACGAAGCGCATAAGCCTTCTCCTGAAAAGTAATCATTTCTATTTTCAGAAGTGAAAACTATAAATAATCAGCTCAATTCTTCAGAAAAAAAAGTTGTTGAACCTGTAGTCTTACCACTCCCTCCCCCTGAGCAACTATCTGGACAGATCTGCCTTGTTCTACAGTCGTCATTCGGGCAGTTGATTAGGCGGCCAAAGGGTCGCAGACGCGGCTGCGGCGCGTCACGACCGCGGCGATCAGCTGTTTCCAGCCTATTTAGCCATTTTCTCCCTAATTTTCACTGTTTTTGGCTGCTTTTCTTGAGGTTAGTTGTTCCTCCAGGGCACATCGTTGTTGGGGAATCCCCAACAGGGGGTCGTATTTGGCCGCCAGGAGAGGGGGTCGTATTTGGGCTGAGAAAAATTTATTTTGAATTTTTCTCGCTTCACGGACGCTGTAAGCGGAAGGGGGGTCGCATTTAATTTTCTGGCCTTCTAGAAGTGGTGGTACTGACTTATCGTGATTTAATTCCATAGTTTTCATGTGGAGGTGTCCTCCCCAGCCCCCCCCGGCCGCATCGACAGGAAATTTTTGGAGAAAGTAGCAAAAATATATTTTTTCTGTGAATTTTTGAAAAACGTGGCAGGAAGTTGGGGAAATTCTGAGAGTTGGTGGAAGGGGGGGGAGTCATATTGTCTCGCGGTTTTTCTTCTGTCATGTGCTATTTACCCCCCCCCGCCCCCTCCCGCCTCCCGAAGGCTCAACTGTCGATGAGAGATAAAGACAAAGGGCCCACCACAGAAAGGGGGGGGGTGTCGTACAACCCTCAAACAAAGGGATCGGTCGCGGACATCGACCAACCCAACCTCGCAACCAATGAATGTGCCTTTGTTTTCCTTCGTCTTCCACGAGGTAAAGTAATGATTCGAAGTTCTTTTGCATAATTTTCGCAACAATATGGATAATCACGGAAAATACATACTTCGGCGATTCTGGTTATTCTATATGCTATAAACTACTCGAAGTTTTCAAAGTTTTAAATATTTTATTTTACGCTTAAGGTTTCCGACTTGGTCGTCTTCTCAGAGGCAAATGCTTCGCACCGTATATATCCGGCATCCACATGCGGCTAAGTAGTTAGTAGAGAATGTCATAATAAAAAGTTAGTGGTCATTCTCACTAACTACTAGGCTCGTCAGCATGGTTGCGGATATACGGTGGAAGCTTGGCCTCTGAAGAAGACGACCAAGTCGAAACGTTAGGCCGTAAAATAAAGATTTCCACCTAAAAACCTCGAGTGGCATAGCAATATAAACAGAATAAACAACGATGCCGAGGTTAGAACAAGAGAGAACTTGGACAAATACCTGAAAAAAAATCGCAAAACACTTTATTACAAAAACAAGAAAAGGAATCCTCGTCCTATTATACTTCGTGAAGTCAAAAAACAACTCACCCTGAAGAAAATAAATAACCCAGTGAAAATTAGGGAGAAAATGGCTGAATAGGCTGGAAACAGCTGATCGCCGCGGTCGTGACGCGCCGCAGCCGTGGGACCCTTTACCGCCTAATCAACTGCCCGGGTGATGACTTTACTTCATCACACTAGCAAAGCGGACGTGGTGTAGTGGCAAGTGGCATGCTCATGCACGTTCCGGCGATCAAATCCGAGATCGGCAATAACTCGGGAATGACGGTAAAGGCTTCATCCTCTATAACCCTATCTGATCATACAGTCATTGAACGCGTGCGGCAACAAAGAAATCTAATGAATCATACAGGAAAGACCGGCTAAAGGATCATACACACGCCGCTAATTGCGCAGCGATTCTGTAGCGACAACTACTGTATCCCAGTGGCACGGTCTGCGGTAATATGTGGCTGTCAGATGAACTGTTAGTGGAAGAATGTGAAATAGGCAATGAAACGACCTATACAGCACTAGCTTTTGCTCGAGAGCAAACGCTCAACCGCGGTCCATTTATCGTGGATGGTGGTTACCGCTTTGGAAAATCCCACCCACGCAAGTCTGCTCTGCATGTTCAGGAGCCTTTTGTAACGCACTCACCACATGGCCCTCGATGACGTACGGCTATGTGTGTCTGTTCCATGCATGCGTGTCGATGCACTTCACACTCGTTGTCGTATGTGATTCCATCCTGAACGATTAACTCTATGACATAGCAGTACATCCAAGCACTTCCAGCTCTCTTAATGGCATATGGCACGTTAATTTGGTACTCACCATCAGTCTAAAATGCTAGCAGGGTGCTATATAGTGGGGGAAAATGGCGAAAAACCGAAGTGAAACGGTCAAAAACCTGCGAAGAAAAGCCTTCGTTCTTAATGACTCAGAAAGCAATTGTCGGACGAGTAGCCCCACAGGAATATTGCCAATAACAGCTACGGTAGGGACGGATGCCCGTATGCACTCATATATCCATGCAGCGCCGCGGCCGCTTCATATCAATCCCTTCGCTTCATATTTTACTTAGCAAATGAAGCAATACGAGCATCAGGTACGGTCGTCCATTTGTGGGCGGGCGGGCGCGGTGGGCGTCCGGGTCGGTATGTTGCAGCTCGATAGCACCATACAAGGTATCTTCTTTGGAAAAGGCGCGACGCAGCGCCTCCTCAAGGGCTCGTAATCGCGTCCTGCGAGGCGTATTAATCCCACTCGTCTCAAGGGTTTATCACTGCT